TAATTGCCCAAACCCAGTCTGGCTGGAGTCTAGAAGAAGAGGAAGTCTGAACACACCAAGAGACACTAAAGAGCTACATGCTGAGGAAAGACCAAGTGAGGACACGGGGGAAAGTGGCCATTCACAAGCCCAGGTGACAGGCCTCAGAGCAAACCAACCCTGTCTCCACCTCGATCTTGGATATCTGGCCTCCGGAACCAGGACACATAATTTTTGAAGCCACCCAGGCTCTCGTGCTTTTCTATGACAGTCCTAGCAGAATAAAACACAGGCAGTGGGGGTTCAGAAGACTGGGTCCTGAAGGGAAGAGTGAGTCTGAGAAGAGGACAGGACCAATGCTTTCCAAGCCTAGGTCCTTAGTATCATAGTAAATAGGTGAATTTGCCACAATTCCCAGAACACACATCTGTCCCTGCAGGGGCCCAGAGACCCCCTGGGTCTAGTGTTTCCTTCACATTCTTAAATTTCCACAGTACTTTCCCAGAAGTCTCATTTTACACCCATCAGCCTGCCATTTGGGGGACCATGGTGGGCATGTAGGCAGGTGTCTGGCTTAGACCCCAGATATCATCCCCGTAACCTGCAGGCTAAGCAAGAGACCTGGGACAGCTCTAAGGCAGGAGCACTGTCTCTGCTCTCCCTATCAAAGCAGAGTCATTTATATTTTAATGGGATTATTTTCCAGCTCCGCAGTTTATCTTTCATTTCATGTATCCCTTTGCCATCTGGTCCCCTTATGCTTGCATGTAGGGCTAGTGGTTTTCTTTGTCTAAGTAGATTTGTCAATAGTTTATAATTTTTCTTGTCATGATCATAATATTTATTTTCCACATCAGACATACTCTTCTGGAGCCTTGGAAGAAAGTGAATTTTTTCCCATGTTTCTCTAACCTAAAATGTGCTTTTCTTAAGTAAAATAATTAAAATTAACAAACAAAACTTTCCAAACTAATATCTTTTCCAGTTCTATCTGTGCTGGTAACCTCAATACATATTTTATTTACTGGACTGTATTAGATTAGGACTTTGGCCTCCTCGCATTTACTTTGGGCTTCCTTGATTACTAATCTGTCTTTCATCAGTAAAGTGAATGCTTTCTTTTTTACCTATCAAATTATTTTGAGCTTTTTCCTCCATAAAGGGCTTTGATATTCCAACCTTACTGTAGCAGTCAAGGGTACCGTTAACCTGTTAGATGTATGCCGGGGTTTCCAGGTGGCATCTACGGGAGCATTGGCTTGGTAGAAAAGCCAGCCAGGCCCCCACCATGGCCACGGGACATGAAAAATACCTTCTCTTGACCTCCCAAAGCTCTATTAGACCAGGAGCCAGCTCTGGCTGCTACTCACTGTATCTCTGGCACCATTCTGGCACACTGAGAGTTCAATAAATACATGAATGGATGGACTTTTTTTCTACTACACAAACCCATGCAATAATAACAACAGAGTCAGAAATGAGCAGTAAAGGTGAAATGCAACATGACCATGATATTCAGAACTGACAAAAAGCAATTAAAATCAGCAATTTCATATGTTGATAGGCTTCACAGTTTCTAAAGGGCTTCAATACCCTGTAAGATTCAGAACAACCACACCATTGTAAGGACAATGGAAGCCTCACTAGATTTTTATGATAATTAAAGGTATCATGTATATGAAACCCCTAGCCTGATTCCTGGCATTTAAATAACCAGTATATGACCTTTCAGGTCCAGAAGTCAGGGTTCATGTTTGCTGGCCTGCCACATTTCCTGCCATACTTCAGTGTTGCTCTGATGCTGTCCTCAGGCTCAGCTGGGAAGATCTGAGCACCCAACACAGACCAGTGACACCCTCGTCCTCACCTTACAGGGACAATGGAAGTGGGTACTGCACCCCTATGACTAGAGTGAATGATGTTAAGTAACTTGAAAATAGAATCTGGGAGCCACATAAGCTTGTGGGCTAAATGCCCTGTGCTGGCTGACACAACGTTCCTGCGCTAGTTACCTAACCAAAGCTCTCCTACCAAAAGTGAGGCTACTAAGACGTGCAATTTCTGCAGGATCCTGTTATAACCTGGACACAGTGACACTATTCAAGCTTCTCTCCCAGATAAGAAACATATCATAAGATTGCCAGCTGACAGCTATGCCAATATTGAATAACACTGTGTCCCCTGTTGATGAGGGGAATCCACCTCAATGCATCATTTGAAGATGTAGCTCAGAAGTTTGGTTCAGTCTGACCTTTGTTGGATATGAAGAGAGGCTGAAATTATCTCATTTCTCGAAGTCTTTCTTCCCTGACCTTTTTCTTAGTTCCATCTCCCTAAATATACAACCTGCACGGGATGACACGAATTCCATCCACATTGTGTGGATATCCTGGCTCCCCTCCTCATGGCATAGGTGGCCTGGACAAGGTGCTTGAACTCAATAGGGTTTATTTTTCTTGACTGTAAACTGAAAAATAAACCTACTTCACAGAGCTTTACGAAGAACTAAATGAGGTACATGTCTAAATGTTCCCTACACAGCGTAAGGCTATGAAGGTATCAAGATGTAGAATGCCCGCTACACTTACCTAGTTGGTACTTTCATCACTTCTTTTAATCTAGATTTACTGGCACTCCATTTGTCCTTCTACAGTCCAAGTAAGCTATAGAAATCTATCAGTAGCTTCCTGGAGGTGTCACATTTATGCCCAATGTCTCACTATTGCTTTTGCCATTTTGTGCAGCTCGAGTCACCCAGCTTTCCCTCACTCCCACTCCAACTGTGTATGCTCAGTGCCCAATGCTGCCTTTACTTGCTGGTCTCTCCACCTGGAGCACCCGCTTTGCTCCCACCTCCTGGTGGAGCTGCTCTCCATTTACTCCAGGTGTATAGACTGCTCTAGGACTGCTCCAGGTGCTGGGACACAGCAGCCAGCTCCAAGTCCCTAATCTTGTAGCAGGTAATCAGTAAATAAATATATCATTTACCAAGTGCTGGTGGGTTATAAGAATGAGTAGAGCAGTTTGCTGTGATGTAGGACTAGTTGGGAAGGTCTCTCTGATGCAGGGTCATTTGAACACAGTCCTAAAGGAAATATGGAAAGAGTCGCACAGAAAATCTGCGAGAAAATGTTCCAGAAAGAAGGAACAGAAAGTGCAAAAGCAGAAGAGGACTTAAATATCCCTTTCTGAGAGAGCTTTCCCTCACATATCCAATTTAAATTCTGTTCTGTTTTTCTTTTTCAGGATACACTATTCTCCTCCCCTGCCCCCATTTAATTAGTGTCCCTCCACAGATTATAAGCTCCAACAAGGCAAGTATCTTTTCTGTTGCTATTTTACCTCCTTTAGATGTCCCATGTTAACTTCTCCTTTGGTAAATAGTTATTGAATGAACTGATAGCTTAAAAAAGATTACTGATGATACCATGCAGTACACCACCCACAATGTTCCTTGCCTTCTGAGAATTTTCTTTTAGGAATCAGTGTGTGAAGGAAAGTCTCCCTTGAAGAGCTGCTTCCTTCTGTCAGCTAATGAACATCAATGTCCACTTCTGCTTTGGGTACAAGGAGTTTCAGGATCAGTAAGGCCTATTTAGATTCGGGATTGGCATATTTGCCTGTTTTTTCCTGATGATAAGATTGCTTTTCTGTTCTGCTTTTGTTGATTGACTTTTTCTTTAGTGTAATTTAGCTGAAGTAAAAATCAGAAAGGGTGATATTTAGGTAGGTAAGTAGAAAGAACAGGGAGGGAGAAAAGAAACCATGTTCCTCTTCACCAATCACTTGTCACCCAGTGGGACTACTGCTTTGTAGGTCGAGAGAGGGAACACAGCTAGCTCCGTGCTTTACATGGAATGGCAGTTGCCCAGGACTAGTGCTTGGTGTGTTTTAGGACCATGGTAAGTATTTCACAGACATGATGTCATGCAATTCCCAACAGAGATACAGGTAGACAGTAATAGCCCTATCGAACAGATGAGGCAATTCAAACTCAGATAGGTTTAAATATCCTGCCTTGGAAGGTAGGCGAGTGGAAATGAATGCCTTAGAATGGCTAGGACAGGGAAGTCAGAAATAAATCCAAGTTGTTCAGACTCCCTCCCTTTCCCCCTCCCACCAACTTGGCCCCACCTCACTCTCAGAGGAAGAGCCCCCTCCACCACTGATCTCTAACTCACTGGAGGTAAGGGGGTGCTTTACATCATCGTGATGCCAGTACATCCAATACTCTTCACCTTACTTTATTTTTATTTTTTTCTTCACCTTGTTTTTTAAAAGGGATATATAAAACAAAAGAATGCATGACACTATTGGAGACGGAAAGTTGGGTGGTGAGAAGCCACTCAGTCCGGCACTGAGAAAAGTGATAAAGGATTCAGTGTTGGCAATTCTGAGGGAACCATAAGAAAACACCCCAGGCCCCCAAAGAGGAACCATTTCTCCGTTTCCCCTGTGGTATTTCTCGGTACTTCTCAAAGACAGAGCTTAAAAAACCGGAGGCACTCCCTGAGCCTCCAGATTGCCTCCTGTGCGCCCAGCGGAGAGGGCTGCTTTCCTGCGCGTGTGTACACACACACACACACACACACACACACACACACTGCAAGAGGTCACAAACCACAGACTGGCACAAGCCCTCAGCAGATACAGACAAGTGCTACAGTAAATACACACCACACCCACAACACACCACATACACAGATACACAGATACATCTCCATCTCGCCCACTCACGCACACAAGCAAGAGAAGTACGAGGGCTCACCTAAGCTGATGCACACGCATGTATCCCATGCACGCACGAACACCCTCGTTCACACACATCCTCATGCACACATTGTCACCCTTTAGCAAACTCGCGCGCGCACGCACGCCGATATCCTCGCTCACACTTCATGCACACAGCATGTATCCCCTCCGTGCACACTCGTGCACACGCTCCTACCGGCGAGCGGCGAGGGGCGGGGCGGGCGCGGCGGCTGCTGCGGGGTGGGCGGGGCCGAGAGAGGGCGCGGCGAGGGGCGGCTGCCTGCGCCCGAGTTGCTCACGGGAGACCGGGCTGCGAGACGTTCCGAGGCTGCCTGGCCAGCTGGAGCCGGGCAAGGCTGGGCTGGGCGGCCCGGAGGGAGCGCAGCGGGGACGCGCGCCATGGATCCGAAGGCGGGCGGCGGCGAGGAGGAGGACTGCGTGGACTCGGGCGCCGAAACCGGAGGGTGAGCTGTGCGGGGCCGGGCCGGGCCGGGCCGGGCCAGGCCTGGCCAGAGGCGAGCGGGGGGCGCTCTCCAGGTCGGGTGGTGCCTCCATGGCGGAGCCTGGGCACAGGGGGTCCCCTCGGCCTTGACCCCTAGGAAACGGAGAGGTGGGGCCCGCTTGCTCCGGGCTAGCTACGGGGCCACCGCCGCGTGGTCCGGAACGGCCCCCGCGGAGGGCGGGCCACACTGGGAGCGGGGTCGAGGTTCTGGGTAATCCCACCCGGTTCCTCTTGCCCTCAGGCATCAGGTGAGCTCCAGGCCAGCGCAGGGCCCCCTTATCGTCCCTGTCAGAAACTAGAGATGTTCCTGCGCTTGTGTCCGCCTCCGCGGGGACTTTCCTCCCTCGACTCCGGACCCCTTGGAGGCCAGCCCTGGAGTTTCGAGAGCAGAAAGACAGGGTGGGACGCTTGGCACCGAAAAGTCTCCTAGAACTCTCAAAGGATGGCTCTGCTCACTTTATGCTGCACTGTGGGGCTTTATTCTGAGCCACTGATGCCGCTTCTCGGCTTCTCAACTTCTCGAGCCCCGCAGAACTTCTGACTCTCAGCGCACCTGTCCTGGCTGGGACCTCGTGCCTTGGGCACCCTTCGGATGGAGAGGGCGCTGAGGTCGGGCTCTGCTTATTTAAAAAATGTCCTATTCGCTTCAGCGAGCTCAGCAATTAGCTCAGACCTTTGGAGACAGCCCTCTCCAACAACAGTTTTCCTGAGTGGGACAAAAGACTGCGTGTCTTTTTGGAGATGAATGTCCTTGTAAACGCTTTCACCCAGCGCCTATCGCTAGAGGATTTTCCTGTGCGGAGTCAGCACCATATCCAGGATATGGTTGCTGCCCCAGGAGGGAAGGGTGTCTTTTCCTATCTGGAGTGACCCTGCAAGAAGGCAGGAGCTGGCCGGACTACAGAAGGACTCATTCCTGGAAGAGGAGGGAGGTTGAAGCTAATGTCAGGATTTGGCGACCTGTGCCGACAGGAAGAGTCCAGGCCCAGAATGGAGACAGAATTCTGACCTGACCCCCAGAAAGACCCCACACACTGCCCTCCCTTCCTGCCCCCCAACCCACCCTTCCTGGCACCCTCCACCACCATTCCTGGCCAAAATCTGGGTCTTTACATATATCCTGCAATGAGATTTTTCTGTTATCCAACTTTGAGATTTGGACTTATGCTGGAGTAACCTGATTCCAAATACTGAACTTCCTTGCCTGTTCCCACACTTTGTACATGTGCCATTTATCAACTTTATTTATTTGTGCTGGGGACCAAACCCAGGGCTTGTGTATGCTAGACAAGTGTTCTATCACTGAGCTACACCTCCAGCATTTATCAACTTTACGTGAAGACTGTTAGCTTTTTTTCCCCCCTTTTGCCTCTAGTTAGCTGGATCATGGACAAAAGAAACACTCAAAATTACTCAGTAGCTCCTTTGTAGCTGAATTGATAAGATGATCACTAGTCCATTCACTTTCAATTTGTAGAACTTGCCTAAAACAGATTTTTTTCAAGGACTCTTTCTTGGAGAAGAAAAGGAAGCCCTGATCCTGGGGGACATCACCCCAGGAACCAAGCATCAGCATGACAGCCACCAGGGCTTGGGGGAGGGGCTGGCCAAGCATGGTAACTCCAGAGCTTCTGTTCTCTGCCTCTCTCCCTAAAATGTGTGACAGTAACAGGACAGAGTTGTTTAAAAATTTTCTGATTCCATCACTAGCATCCTTAAGCTAAAATAAAGGTAAAATGGCATGCGTTTAAATAAAATAGTTTCAATACTTGCTCATTATTCTTGTATTTGTCATGCATTCATATGGTCCTTGAATTTTACTTTAGTTATCAGAAAAGCTATTCATGGTTTCCTCACTTTTCTGGAGCTTGCCCCACCCCCTTCCCATCTCCAGCTTTTTTTCTTTTTTTTTTGCTTAAATTCTTTTATTGGTACATTTTAGGTATACAATACATTTACATTCATCATTGGGAACTTGTACCTTTACATGATGTATCTTTGTTCTTACTTTTTTCCCATTCCCTGTCCTCCCTTCACCCCCTCCACCCTTCCCTATTTACAAAGACTTTGTTTCCATTTTTTCCTTTTCTTATAATTTTTCCTTTCCCTTCTTTCCTTTCCCCTGCCCCTCCCACTACCCCTACCCCTTTGAACCTTTTCGTCCTATTTCAAATTATCAATTATTTGTTTTAATCATTTTAATCCTTATTTACAGTTTCAATATCTCACACCAGAGAAACTATTCGGTATTTACACATGTGTGTCCTATTTATTTCACTTAGGAGTATGGCCTCAATATGCATCCATTTAGCTATAAATGTCTCTAGTTTCTCGTTATTTATGGCTGAGTAGTACTCCATTTTATAAAAAAAAAACCGCATCTCATCTCCAGCTTTTAGATGCCAACCCATAGGCACTGAATATAAAACACAGAGAAAGCACTTAATAAATGTTTGCTATAATTATTATTTTTTAAACATAAATCTGATCATGTCTCTCCTTTCCAAACTTTATGGCTCTGTCACCTATCAAATGCAAGAGTTTAACATGTCTATAAGCCCTGGAGTTATGGAGTCCCTCCTTTTTCTCTCTGACCCTGTTTCTGCACATGTCCTTCTCTTCACCCTGCACCTAGCCACATGCAGCAGGTTTTCCTGCTGCCTTGCCTTTATCAAGCTGCCCTGCTGTTTCCACCTGGCATGCCTGTCCACTAGGTGAAACTCTGTCCTTTCAAGAACAAGCTCAAGTGACATGTGCACTAAGGTAATGACCCTTAACTTGGGGTCCATGAATTGTGTCAAGTTGTATGCAAAATAATGCACTTCATAAATTTTTATGAGAAGAGAACTTATCAGATTCTCAAAGTAGCCTCTGACCCCTTCCAAATCAAGTTTGGGCAGAGTATAAGATGTTTCATTTGTAGTATGTATCTTGAAGTTTTGAGAGGCATCTCAGTAAAGATGATGAGTCTGCAGTGAGGTATAGCTTTGGCACTCAGTGTGGAGGTCTGTATGGTGACATCACCTTTGAGAGTGTCTACCTAAACATGGCTTTTGAAGCCTGAGAGAGATTAAATCAAACAAAGGTAATTTAGCATTTACTATGTACCACTGACTATCCTAAACCTTTATGCATTTCATTGGCTCATTGACTCCTTCAGCAACTGAGCAGCCGGTAGTCTTTAGAACCAGCCTTGAGAAGCCACAACATTTAAATGTCAGAAAAAAACCCAAACATTTAAATGTCAGGTAAAAGAGGCTGAGCTGATAAAGGAACCTGAGAAAGAGTCTGCATGGAATCAAAGAAGGATAATGTGATATACTAAAACCAAGGAAAGTTTGAAATTTGGAAAAAGAAAGGAGAAATCAGCTGTGCTACTGAGAAACTGAGATGAGGAATATAAAGTGTCCTTTTATTAATGGAGACCCTGAAGTGAATATTTAACAGTGGGTAGTGGAGGCAGAAGCCAGATTAGAGTGACTCAGAAGGGTGTAGAAGTTGAGGCAGAGGTGACAGCAAGAACCATTTGTTTGGAACAGAGGAGGGCACAGAGGCAGAAGCCAGAAACTAGAAGCGAGAGTTAGAGAAGGAGTTCCTTAACATGCGGGCTAGTTGGACAGCACTCCTGAAAGGACTGTGAAAAGGGAAAGGATAAAGACATAGGAGAAAAGGTGATCATGCACCATGTCAGCTTTCTGAGAAGTGGAGGCAGATGGACTTCACACCACATGTGGATGGATGAGCTTTGGGTAGGAAGGGGACCTAACTCTTACAAGAGGTAAGGAAGGGGAGATGGGGTTGTCAGTGGGTGTGATTGAAACCCCTGCCCAGGAGAATGGAGATTGGAAATATTGTTTGGGTGTTTTGGTGAGAGCCAGTTAAGATGAATGATTATGTATTTACAGAGATAGGAGTCAATTTGCTACCTATTTTCCTGCAGCACTACTAAACAACCCAGGGACCTAGGGACAGGCAGAAAGGTGGGCATGGTTGGGATCATCACAGATAGGGGGAGGAGGGATTGTTGCTAGATGAGTGTGAACAAAGCAGAGAATCAAGGGATTTTAGGGTAATGCTTAAACTGATTATTCTGTTTTCTATCAGATGTGAGTCCCACTGGTAGTGAGCAACCTGTCCTGATCACTCTGAAAGTTCAGCCATAAGAACCAGCCTGCCTGCATTCAGATTCTGGCTCCTCCATTTAGGAATTGTAGAACTATGAGCTGTGGAACTTAATCTCTCTTTGTCCTCAGTTTTCCTCTCTGAACAGTGGGAATGATGGCAATACCACCATCATAGGGTTGTTGTGAGGATTAAACAAGTGTGCATTCAAAGCCCCTAGAACAGTACCTGACATAAATCAATCTCAGTCCATTATTTCTCATCATATCATTGTTACTGTTACATAGAACACTCCAAATGATAGTTTTAAATAATAAAAAACAGTGACCCCAAGACCTTGTGTGTTCTTTATACTTATCATATTAGATGTCCAGATGCTTTTAAATAACTTAAGCAATTTAATCACTATTCAAGACATCCTATAGGCTATAAGGTCTGCATCAGGATATTAGTTATTATTTTACAGGTGAGGAAATGGGGACCTAGAGGGCACATGGCTCTTTAGTGACCTCAATTAAATCCTGGGTCTCCAGTGGGTTTCCTTCCTAGTGACTTTGTCTTGTAAGAAGCCCTTTGATGTCTGTTAATTAATTTTTGTTTTCTGATCAGACATTTTCTTTTGCTTGAAATACTGCCTTTGCTGTCTGATCTACTATAGCCCAAGACTAAAAGCAAACAAGTATTCGTATTGACAACTGATGTCATTTTGAAGCTCCCATTTCCCTAGTCCTCTTGAAAGCAGGCCTTGTGCTTCTGTGTAGTTTCTGTTAGAAAAAACTAGCAAGTCAGCTGCTGACAGTGGTAAACTAGCTTAAGAAACAGACCTCTTAATGGAAAGGCAGGTGGGCCCTTATAAATCCAAATAAAAGCCCATACTTTATAATGACTGTTTCTTTAGTGATATCTGCAAGATTTGTTCTCTAGGTCACTCTTTTACATATGATTATACCTGATGTATTATTTTCATTAAAAAGGTTGGCCTGGCATTATTGAATTTCCACTTCTGTGTCAGCAATCACTGAACTTCTGACCCATGCCAAGGTTACAGCCTGCCCTGTATCTTTGGGTGACCTTCAGCTGATACTTCATTGTGGCTTAAGTGATTAAAAAAATCTATGGGTTGAGAGTTTAAACAAGTGGGTGACAGAGAATACGTGCAATAAATATAAAAGTGGAACAGGTTTTAAAAAATAAAAGGGAAAATCTTGCATAGAAGACAAGACTGTCTATAATACTCTATTAACTTTGTATTCAAGTGTAGCTAGTTAACTCCAAGTTACCATGGCATTCAGTGCACTGAAAGTTAGCAGACAAGGTCTGTGATATATCATGCTGATGTTTTGCAGAAATGTCAGGACCACTTTTACCGAAATGCCAAGATCAAATTTTTATGCTACGGTTTTCCTGGAAAAAATAGTTTCAGAAGATACTTTGAAAATTATTTTATTTTTATAAAATTAATGTATGTATAAATTGGCAAGTAGGTAGCTAACAGTGCTAAGCTATCTTAAGTACAGAATGCCTTTATATATAACCTCTACATCTATCATTAAAATACAGTCAAGGGTCCACTCTTAACTTTTTTTATTATTGACACAGATATTAAATAAATACAGCATTTGGAAATGTATTTTTATATGTGTCCAGTGTATGATGATATATAAGCCTTGTATTATTCTGCTCCTGTATGTCATGTGTTCAAAAATTTTGCATCCTAGGCCACAGTGCCACAGCACCTGCCTGGCAAGCACAAAGTCCTGAGTTCAGTCCCTAGCACCAAAACAAAGTGAAACAAAAATTTTGCATCCTAAAATTCATGGATTCACCTTTCATGCTTTAGGCTTAATGTCATATGCAGAGTCAGCTGGGTAAATTCTTATAATTTGAGACCAGTAAATATACATCTCAAGGCTGGGTACCAAACTGCTGTTCCTCCCTTCTCAAAGGAAACTGGGCTTTAAAAACTCCTCCGGAGACCCCTGGTCATATATCTGGTTCTTTTTTGAAATTATTTTAATCTGTTCATGCACAAAATTTTCTGAAGTTTTATAATTTTTCTTTCATTGGCAATATCTCCAGGAAATAACCTGTTAGGATTACTTGGGATATATTTTAAGAGCTATAAAAATGTTCGTACCTCAACTCAGTCTATATTCCCACTCATGGTGATTTTTCTAAGAACAAGAAAATAAATGTAAAGCTATATTTCTAAATATCATTGCCTTGTGCTTTGTAAAAGTGAACAATCAGGAGCAATCATAAGCTAACAAAAGGGAAATGGTTGAGTAAATTCTACCTAAATGATACTTAAGGAGCTATGTAGTAGCATGCTGGAATGACGTTAAGGGAAAAGAGCAGTTCAGAATTGAATCTCCATTATTATGGCAACTGTGCACAAATTGCATAAACTTAGGACTAGAGTCTGGAAAGCAACACAGGTTTTCAGGTGAGTTTTTTTCTGTTTGACTTCTCTTTCCACAGTGGACAGGGATGGAAACTGAGCTGCAGAGCTGGGCAGAGACCATCCATTGTGGAGAGAGGGGTTTGTGTTTCAAGTAGCAAGCTTGAATCTCATCCAGAGAGAGACATGATCAGATTTGTGCTTTGCAAATATTGGCTGCTGTCTGGAGAAGGAGTTGGAGCAGAGGAGAGGGACTATTGAAGACTGACCAGTTAACAGGCCTAACCCAGTCAGTGCCTTTTTGTTACAAAAGATTTGGGAGAATTCATGGAGGGGCATTTGTTATGCTAGCACCTGTCCTAAAACGCTACCATTGTACTTTAAGATTCCCAAACCGTGTTCCCAATATAAATTTGATTCTACATACATATCCATCTGTGTGCAGATCTTTAAAATGCCTGCATATGTGAATCCCATCTGCTTCAGGAGTAGTTAGAAAATTCTAGCTGAAAAGGCTGACACATTTTTTTAATATAAGAGAAGTAGTAATATTGCATGTTCTTATTATAAGTTTTATTTCGATAGTCATGCAATCTTTTTAAAGTCTGGGCATTTTAAGATGATCATTTTGTAATGGAATTATGTTGGTGTTACATCTACCACCATGCATGCTTGCTGAGCATTCACTGCATTTTTATATAGTTACATTTCTAAGTATTGTCCTAAAGTTTATTTATGCCCTGCTTGGTTCCAGAATGAATTCAATGTGCCAGTACTGGGGCTACAAATCCTGAGTTATAGAATGGTGCTGATTCTTTCACTTCCGTTAGCTATGTGTCACCATGCCCTGGCTGATCCATCCTATTTTATAACTCATTCCTTGCTACCTACCCTGCAGAGTCCAAACCCTTATCATTCCTCACCTCCTGGTCTCCTTACAAATAGTATCACTTTAATTTTCCAGTTAGTAAAATAAAAATTGAATTGGATATGTGCAAATGCAGTTTATAAAGTAAAAAAGGGTATGCAAGTGTTAGTTGTTATTTTTTCCAGTTTTAAAATTTAATGATTCTTTGACTACTAAAATATTTCATTTGAAAAAGAAAACCACATGCTGTTTTTGTTCCATTTGGTTCCACTACCAATAAATCATTTGGTTTGAGCAATGCACATTATTTTAACAAGTAAGAGCTATGCTTCTTATGATTTTTTTTTAAGTTTTATATGTATTTATTAATGTGGTAAGAAGCTCAATGTAGTGAAAATTGGATGAGTCAAGAAAGGCAACATGAGACTAAGAAAATAAAAGGAGTATATAGCTATAAAATTAAATATAATTAACCAGTTTATTTGCATAACTACATCCCCTCACTAGCAGGCAGAATAAATCTTTACACGCTCAAGTGATTAATTTCCTACTGAGAATTACTTTGGAACACCGGTAGGAAAGAAAATAAATAGCTTTTACACCAAATTTGTTGCCAGAGAAAGAATTCTTAGCAGCCCTGCAAGTAGGGCAGAAACTCATCAGAGATTAGCAAGGCAGGCCTTTGGCCAGAGGCCCATTCTCTTAGCTCAGTGCCTTCACTGGTGTTTCAGTCTAAAATCCTAATGAGTTCTTTCACCGGAGACCTAACCTTGCCTTTTCCCTCCCATATCACAGCCCACATCACGCCTCTGATATTCAGCAGGATTTCTTCTCAGTGGAACTGAAATCTGTTAAAATATCACAGTGCCTTTGGGCTCCCTGATGGCCAGCCACACCTAAAGGTGGATGCCCTGGTGGCCCAGGTTCTCTCTATCCCCTCTGACAATACTGTGCTAATTCAGCAAAGAGACATTCACTCATGAGGTGTGCAAACATTTCAAGGGTGCTCATTTGCAGTGGTTTTACCTTTGGGGAGTCATGGATCTGTTAAAAACTTTGGACCTTTCTTCCGGAAAAATAGCCACTTGAAAATTTGCCATCAAACTTGGAAGTCTCCTGAATCCCATCAGGGGTCTCACAGAGCCCATGTGAAAGACCCCAAATCCTAAAATACCTTTATAAGTTTTGCTTTCAAATTCAGGCATAATTTTTGTTTGCACTATGGTTTTTAATTGGTGACATTACCAGTTAAATGGTAAGACTTAAATATACTTTTATTTTTTCCATTTCCATCATAAGCATAATACAGGTGACTTGCAGAAAACAAAAATTACAAGAAAGCCGGGCACCATGGCTTGCATCTATAGTCCTAGCTACTTGGCACCTGAGTCAGGAGGCCCAGGAGATCATGACCAGCCTGGGCAACATAAGGAGGCTGGTCTCGGGAAAGAAAAAAAAACTACAGAGAGAGAAAGGGGAGAAGGGAGATCAGCTGTAGCCCCCATTAGAGAGGAGCACAGGGTCTTAGGGGCAGCCCTGTGCCCACCACCGCCTTCTCTTGGGTGCTGTGGCTCTGACTGGGTGAGAACACAGAGGGTGCGTGGGTGGGGTGGGGGTTGCAGCCCCTCTGGCTTGAGCTGACTTCTCAAGGTCTCCCCTCTGAGCATTTATGATCTTTCCATTTCTGGTGCTTTTGAAGTTAAGACAGCTTTGTTTACAGGTTCCAGAAGAAATGTTTTGAAGTAGGGCTGTGACAGGTGATGCTTCTCAATGGGTGGTTTGTAATTAATTGTTCCCTATTAGAAAAAAAATTAGTGACTCGGTTTGAAAGATTTGAGAACCATTCCTCAAGTTCCTTGGCAGAGGAAGTGGCCATTATGCTGCTCCCTGCAGCCCTGCTTTTGTGGAAGAGGAAAAAGTTTTCTCATTTGGTGTGTCTCTGAGCTGCCCCAATACTTTGGCCATTGTCCATGAGGACAGAGCAAACAGGCCCTGCTGTTGTACTCACCACTGACTTTTAAACTTCTATTTTAAAACTTCTAGTTGAATAAATCATTTGGATGAAGAAAAATGATATACAAATCTTGCTAATACTGGGGTTTTGTGTTTCAGGTCAGACTACAGCCACCTGTCATCTACCAGTAGTAAGTATCTTTTAAATGTACTTAAACTTTGTTGTAACGGTCTCACTAGGGACCAGTACCATGGAGGCCATCTATGTAGCACATGCTTTAATAGTACGTACACAGGAATCATCAGAGGAATCCTTGCAAGAAAAACATCACAGGAACCTCTAACTCTGGGCCTAGAGGCTTTTCCTGGAGAGTTTGATTGTACCCTGATTTGAGTATGAGATATGCCACTTCTTTCCTGAAAAAATTTAGCCTGAGAGATGTATCCTAGGCTTTATCAGCTTCTTATAGAAACTTTTAGGAACACCTTCTCCAAGAACTTATTAACTTCTTCTTTGAATATCTCTCTAATTCCTGCTAACAGAAAGCTCAGAACACAGCTGCAATTTCCATGATACAGCTCAAACAAATGGTCGGGGGGGTGTAGGGGGGGCTTCCCTTGTTTTTCTGCTTCTGCAAGCAAATATCATCCCCTCCCATTGTAGAGGACATGCCCATCTCTGACAAAATCCTGCTAAGTGTGTTAACAGCAACCCCAACATAGGCTATAATGAGGCAATTTAGCTACCATTTCTCCCCTTAAATATAGCTAAAAGGAATGTGGACATCTTTATCAATCCATTTTTCTGTATTTGTAATTCCTGGCTTACTGGTGATCATTATATGTGGTAAAAAGTGATTGGGAATGTGTTTATAAAGATGCTTTGAACATAACAAGGTACTTATATTTAATATTAACGTACAAGTATATTCCTGAGAAATGATGCCTTTTGTCTAGAAAGAATTTATCTTGGTTTAAATCACTACATCAAAGCCATTCAGACTGAATGACACTTATTTTCAAATAACAAAAAATAATCATCTTACAATAAGAGTCCTGATTTTTAAATCATTAAATACTGAGTTGTTCTGTATTATCTCACTGTCCTGTTAAACTCTCAATGCTAAATGGTTCCCAAATGGAGAGACGCTTAATTGGATTATTCTATTTATTGATGTACTGGCTTAGTTTCCCTTTGCAATGAGGAGCTGCGGGGAAATATCTGGAATTGTAATTTAGTGTCAAATTATATTTAGTTATTAGAATAACTGCAGTGAGCAATTTCTGATCATTTCAGCCACCCAGAGACCCAACATTGCCCCTTAGTTATAAAGATCCATTAGTAATCATGAGAATAATGCACCAATGACTTGCGCTTATTCCCTGAAGCTCTAATTCCTCAAACCAGAGACAGCCTTGAACTCTCTGTCTCTCTGTGACACCATTTTCATTCCACTGTTTGGCCCAGAGGCTACATTTCTTTAAGAATTATTTTTCTAAAAGACTTGCCTGAAGCTTTGCATAATTTGTAGCTCTCAAATCAGTCCTCTGGGTCACAACAAAGCACCTCTCTAGGAAGCAAAACTGGCAATTTAGTTTGGGATGTTTTCCTCTCCGTTATTTTAATTGCAGTCTCTGAGTTGAAATTTCTCTTAGTGCAGTTGGGATCAATGCCCTGCTGTTGCTCTTCCTTTTCACTTTAAATATTTGGTAGCTGTGTTTCTGCCTCACTCTTTGGTGATGGGGCCTCTTGGTAAGAGTGTGTGTGTGTAAGGAAAACACTGATTAAACAAGAAAGATTTGGTTTTTATCTATCATAAAAAAAGGTCCAGAGGAGGCTATATGTGTATGTCTGATATAGAAGCTCCTCCAATCATCTACATCATTCTCAACTTTTGGCTTCCATCCTCAGGGTTACCTCAGAGTTATAGTATGATTGTCTCTATCACAGGCATCACATCCTTATTCTCAGCTGGAAGAAAGAAAAAGGAAGGTCAAAAGGCACCCGCAAGCTGGAACATCCCAATTTTTTAAGGAGTTTTGCCAATAATTACTCTTATCCCTTTTGGCCAGATCTTGTCACATATTTATCCCAAGGAGGTCTGGACAATGTTGTTTTCTTTGACTACATTGCTACCACCAACCCACTTCCACTAGGAAGGAAGGGCCTGGCCTCCCTCTGCTCCCAGCCAGGAGCATGAATCCTGGCCCCATCCACAGGCAGGAGAAAGCCCCTTGAGCAGTCAGTGAAAGATAACAAAGTGGACTTTCTGTAAAGAAAAAAATTAAATATCAAGTCTTAAATCTGTCTTTAAAGCATAGGTTTGACTGTGCTGCAATAAGAAAAAGTATTTTCTGCCAAGTGTGATGACACCCACTTGTGATCCCAGCTACTCAGAAGGCTGACGCAAGAGGATCACAAGTTTGAACATGGACAACAGAGTGAGACTTTGACTCAAAATGAAAAATAAAATGTACAGAGGGCTGGGGGTAGCTTAAGGTAAGGCCCTGAGTTCCATTCCCAATACTGCCAAGAAAGAGAAGGAGAGAGGAAAGGGGAGTGGGAGAGAGAGAGAGAGAAGAAAAAGCATTATCCAAGAAGACTGTTAAAATACTTTTTCCCCACCCACCAGGTAACCATACTGCAGGGGCTGAGTAGAGAGAAAGGTGCTGATTTGTTATTTGTGCTGAAGGATCCATTATAGGGCTCCCCCTCAAAGTGACTGGGTGTGCTGCCCTCTATGTGACCACAATGCTGAGGGCTGCCTGACACTACAGGGCCTTAAGGGTCTGGGAGCAGCTCCCTACCTCACTGTCATTCCACTGCCACTGTCAGCCTCTCTCAGTGGCTGAGTTATTACTGGTTCCTGTGTGAGATGTAAACATTGATACTCATCATTCCTTACCAGAACATGGATTTCCTTCTGACTGTGAATGGTTCTTCTCAGCCTCTCCCTGCTGCTCCTTTACCTGGCTGTGCTGAACTCACAGGTGTATCCTCGGGGTAGCACTGTTAGCCTCAACCTTGGTGCCTGTTTATCAGCGGATGGATTTTCGTTGCCAAAAATTACCATGAGAGTTTCTTGCAGAGAAAACCAATCGTTCTTTTTTGTTGTCATCTTTTTCTTCAAAATGCAGGACACTGCCTTCTGATGCTAAAGGTCCTTACCATGGGAAAGATCCAAGAGCAGTGGTATGATGAGGTGCCATAATTTCACTCGCTGGTTTCGCCATAAGTTACCCATGTGCTCTCTAGCCTCTCATTTATCCCCTGTTTTAATCCACTTTCTGTTGCTATAACAAAATGCCTGAGGCTGAGAGCTTTCTCAGGAAAGAAGGCTTATTTAACTCACAGTTCTGAAGGCTTAAGAGCATGGTTCCAGTATCAGCTCAGCAAGGGCCTCATGGTAGATGGCACTGCAGTGGCATATGTGGAAGAAATCACATGGCGAGACAGGACACCACAGAGGAGAGGCCGGTCTTGCTGTTTAGTACTAATGCACTATTAGGAAGCTAAGTGGGATCCTAGGAGACTACATCAATCCCTTCTGCATACAGCACCCACAGGGACCCAGTTACTTCTTACTAGCCCTCTCTTCTTACAGACCCCTCACTGGGGACTGACTACACCTCCTGCATATGAACACTTAGGGTTTGTCACCCAGGGACAACCATAGCATCCTCTCTGAGCCGGTTTTCTCCTCTGTAGAATTAGGTGGCTGGACAGGGTGGCCTCCAAGGACCCTTCCAGAGTATGCTAAGATGTGAATGCCTTAGAAACTCCTGGAGGGGGTGGGGGAGAGAAGAGGAAGGGGGGAGGATGGAGGATTGTACCTTTTCTGAGGGCTGGGCATCCTCTCTGGTGCCTCAAGTGTTAATCCTGTAGTAAGGTCTGATTGGAATCAGAGTTCTGTATGCTGTGAATGACCTAGAAGTAAGTGATGGCAGAGAGACTGGGCTAACAGGTAGTTACTGCTTTTTATCCCACTGCTTTCCAAGAACTACCTAGGTCTGGGCTAGGAGAGGGTGCATACATGGTTAGACGCCATCCTCTTGCCTTCAGCCTTATGGATCCTGGACTCCCACTTCCACTAGCTGATCCTCTGTCACCATCCAACACTGGAGGGCATGGCTGGAGACTTATTTAATGGATGATTTAGTTGTTTGAGTGAATTTTTTCCAGTTGCAAGTGGTCCGTTTGCCTTTTTTAGATTGCCAGGGAAGGCAAGCTTTTCCTTTGTGCTTTCTGAAGAGCTCTAAACACTGGCCCCCAGGAAATCTCAGTCATGATTCTTCCTAAGGAAAATGAATTTAATTCATACTCTCAGAATTTTAGGTTGTTTATCCAGAAATCTGGTGAGAATATCATCAAGCCATAGTGCACAATTTGCATTTTTAAGTGATTTGAATAAAAGGAAATTTTTATAAACAGTATAAAAGAAAAACAGTAATTATGCCAGGAAAAAAAAACAAGTGTGACATGTAAGGCTAATGAAATTCCCATCATATGTGATTAAATGTTTCCATTCAAGTTAAGAATCTAATCATAGTTGGAGAATTACTCCTAGAAGATGCTAAGAACTTAAAAATTATATGTTTAGGAACATGTGACATATCTTAAGGATATCTAGCCCCCTAAAAATGCCAGTAGGAAGTAGTCAAAGAATTAACCACTTCTCTCTGTTTCGAGCTATTTTGCAGAACCTTCTTAATTTTGGCCCAAAATTATTCCACCTCAAAACTCAGGAAAGTTGTTAACTTTTTCCCTTATGAACTGCCAGTGACTGCAAGAATGCTTCGCAGTTTTGTGTTCTTTCATGCGTCTCAAAACCCAGATGGTCAAAGATCAGTCAAAGTGATACACAGGGTGTCTCCCAGGAGCTGGGCAATGCACCAAGGAATCCTGTGTCTGTGAAAATAGGAATGGCCCTAAACCTTGTGCTCTATGATTGGAGCCTAGGAACAGATCATAAGCTGTGCAAAAAAGACAAACATGATGATGGGCAGGAGTCCCTCCATTAATTCTTAACTTTACCAGGTCTTCAGATTCTGCCCTCTGTGTTTTCCTTAGCTTTCTTTTCCCAACTTCGTGCTCTGTCCTTCTGGTGACTCACATGACCTCTTTCTTCCATGCTCATATCCTCCTGCTGCCCCAGCACTTCCAAAGGCCAGTGATATTCACTCCCTCAGC